TATTTTCGGAAAAAAAGAAAATTGATTCCGATCAAATAAAATTTCTATTTGAAATACACCAGAGTATTTTGCTTTTTGAAAATAATGAATTCAGTCATTTAGCTTTCAATTAAAGAAAGGATATAATTAGAGAGAGATAGCCAATAGTTAGAGAGATTCACAAGAGTGAGAACGACACCTAAGGGATATATATAAAGTCTGCCCTCATATTAAGTTTAAAGGCACAAATTTAAACCTTTTTGATCTATACACCAACACAACTGAGGCTGGAACCATTGAGATCAATGCTAATCATAGAAATTTAAGAATCTCCCCCATTCACCCGCTTCACTTATTTGAAAGCACACCGGTATGCCGTATTTTTAGCCGTAAAAGAATATCGTGGATGATTTTTCATATGTAAGATTTGAGTTAATGACTGAAATCATGTATTTTTGTCGTTTCAATCTTTTATTCTTCACTTTGTATTTACTTATTTGATTTTTATTTTTTTTAATACGTGCTTTTGTTATTTTTGAAACATGTTTTTACAATATGTTTTTAGTTATTTATTTAAACACATATTTTAAGAGACTGCATGTTTTTATTTATTTTTTTAAACACATATTTTTGCACTATATGTTTTTAGTTATTTTTTATTTTTTTAAAATCATGTTTTTATAATACATGTTTTTATTTATTTATTGAAACATGTTTTATAATGCATGTTTTCTGTTATTTTTTTTATTTTTTAAACGTATTTTTACACTACATATTATTAGTTATTTTTTTATTTTTTAAACACATATTTTTACACTACATGTTATTAGTTATTTTTTTTTTAAACATATTTTTACACTACATGTTATTAGTTATTTTTTTTATTTTTAAGCACCTATTTTTACACTACATTTCATTAGTTATTTTTTTATTTTTAAACACATATTTTTACACTACATGTTATTAGTTATTTTTTTTTTTTTTAAACATTTTTTTACACTACATGTTATTAGTTATTTTTTTTTTTTACTACATTTTTTTAAAAACCTATTTTTTACACTACATTTTATTAGTTATTTTTTTATTTTTAAACTACATATTTTTATTTTTACACTACATGTTATTAGTTATTTTTTTATTTTTAAAAATATTTTTTATATGTTATTAGTTATTTTTTTTTTTTTAAAACATATTTTACACTACATGTTATGTTATTTTTTTATTATTAGTTATTTTTTTAAACACATTTTTTTTTTAAGTTATTTTTTATTTTAAAAATATATTTTTACACTACATGTTATTAGTTATTTTTTTTTTTTTTTATTTTAAACATATTTTACATATGTTTTAGTTATTTTTTATTTTTAAAACATATTTTACACTACATGTTATTATTATTATTTTTATGTTATTTTTTTTTAAACATATTTTTAAATTTATTAGTTATTTTTTTATTTTTTTTTTTTAAAAACATATTTTTACACTACATGTTATTAGTTATTTTTTTTTTTATTTTTAAACATGTTATTATATTTTTTTTTTTACATTAGTTATTACATGTTATTAGTTATTTTTTTTTTTTTTAAACACATATTTTTACACTACATGTTATTAGTTATTTTTTTAAACACATATTTTTACACTACATGTTATTAGTTATTTTTTAAACACATATTTTTACACTACATGTTATGTTATTAGTTATTTTTTTATTTTTAAACATATTTTTACACTATATATTATTAGTTATTTTTTAATTTTAAAAACATATTTTTACACTACATGTTATTGATTATTTTTTATTTTTTAAACATATTTTTACACTACATGTTTTTAGTTATTTTTTATTTTCACCGACGGACTGTTCAGTCTTAACCGACGGACTGTTAAGTCTCAGGCAACGGACTGTTCAGTCTCAACCGACGGACTGCCCAGTCTCAACCGACGGACTGCCCAGTCTCAACCGACGGACTGTCCAGTCTCAATCGACGGACTGTCCAGTCGCAATCAACGGACTGTTAAGTCTCAATCGACGGACTGTCCATTCTCAATCCACGGACTACCCAGTCGCAACCAACGGACTGCCCAGTCGCAACCAACGGACTGCCCTGTTTCAATCGACGGACTGTTAAGTCTCAACCGACGGACTGTCCAGTCGCAACCCACGGACTACCCAGTCGCAACCAACGGACTGGTCAATCTCAGCGGACGGTCTGCTCAGACTCAATTCATGTACTGCCCAGAAATGTGATTTGATGATAGTAGCAAAGGCTTGTGTAAAAACAGCCGTAATTTTCAGAAAAAAATATTAAAGGAATGCTACATAGCCTAACACAGGATGCATTTAAGATTTTTCCTTCTCCTAGCCTGGTTGTGTCGTAATCTAGTGAAGGTTACTGAATAGAATAATCTAACGAGGGTTCGTAATGAACGATAATACTTACGACAAGAACAATGCATATAAGATTCGTGAGCGGCGCGTAGTTAACTTCTAGAAGTGAGTCAAGTGATTTCAACAATGGATCTCTAACTCTAGACCATGTATAGTATTCACTGCTCTATTTATGGGAATGAGGGTATACTCATTATAAGCCATATATATGCTACAACACATAGCTAGAAAGCACACTCTGCACTGATATTTAACCCATATTTGGGGGAGGAAGAGACGATGCTAACTTAAATGTGAAATGTTATTCTTAACTTTTATTTCCTTTAACAAAAAGTAGAAAAATCCATTTTTGCACCGTTCTAGGTCCCCCAACCCGGGTGTTCGACACTATGACGCCAGACTAACATATCAATTTTTTAGTTGTTTAATATCGTTCATTTCGCTTCAATTACTTTCTTATACGTTTTTATCATTAGTTTATCATTAGTTATTGCTGAACATTTTCATTTCCCTCGTCTGCTGTGAATTAATCAATCATCATTTTAATATACATGATATTGCACACGCTCTGTTGAATATGTCTGCCTAGTGACGTTTGAAATTTACCACCAACCGCAAGAAAAAGCTGGAATTAATAGCAAGGGGTGCGGCTTCCGCGCTGAAGAAACAAATAAGTGCAATGCATTGCATGGGGGAATATATAAATAAATATATAATAAACAAAATGAAATTTTCACATATCTTTCTCTACTCAGAAATTTCGTGGGCATTGCGCCCACTCGACAGGAGCTTAATTGCAAAATTGAATTTATTTTCAGAAAATGCGTTTTTTATTTTATTTACAAGACATTCCATCAAAAAGAATTGAATCGTCCCTACCTCCCATTAGAATGTCTGACGCTCAACTCCCCGAGAGCACCTCTTTGCGGCTGCTCGGTCTCATATTGTCTGCTCACTTGAGAGGGAACAAATACATTGAGTCAATAAAGTTGGCTCCCTGTGCCGCGCCAGGAAATTTTTCTCGCCGGAGTTAATCCTTCAAATCTAAAAATCAACCATTCACTCTTGCATGGAGTATTGCTCTTATATAAGGTCTGGAGCCCCTTTTGTTTGTCTCAAGGTCCTTGATAAAATCCAGAGACGGATATGCAATGTAATTGGCCATGATCTGGCATCTCGTCTGCAGTCGCTCTTTTACAGGCGTGCCGTCGCCTCCCTCTGTCTTTTTTTGCAAATACTTTCACGGTAACTGCTCCGATGAGCTGCTTTCGCTGGTTCCCAGACTTCATGAATTTAAGCGTTCAACTAGGCTGGCATCTCGCTCTCCCTCTTTCACTGTCGAAACTGTTAAATGTAGCCGTCTCTTATACTCCAATAGCTTCATGTCTCGCACTTCTTGCCTGTGGAACTCACTCTATTCAAATGTAATGTCAATCGACGTCTCCAGATGCCTTGATCTATCCCCTATCCTTCTATTCATCCTATTTTCTCTCGCTCCAACTCTCTGTAACCCCTTGCGTGCTAGTGGCTTCCCGCCTTGCTTGGAGTGAAGCGCTTAAAAAAAAAAGAAGAAGATTACATGTTTTTTTCTGAAAAATATTAATGGCAGATACTGAGAAAATTCTGTCCTTCACCCATACGAAGGCATATCAGGGGCGTGGCGTCTAGATAAGCCAGGTACGCAGTGCCTACCCTGAATAAAATAGATTTACAGATAAAGTTGCTTTCTGTGGCACAATCTGCCATCAAACAAAATTTTGAAGGTGACACTGATTATTATATTAAAATGCAATATATATATATATATATATATATATATGTATATTTGGTTGGATAGACGTGAGTTTGTGTCCCTGGGTTTCACGCTTTAGCGATCGTCAGACAAACTGATTAATTTTTTAAAAAAGTTGGGTTTATATAGATTGAGCGCTTTCTAATAAGTACCGCGCATATAGTATAATTATACATATATATATTTATTTATATTTATATACACTTTTCACACACACACGCACACACACACAGACACACACACACACACACACACACACATATATATATATATATATATATATATATATATATAAATTTAATGAAAAACAGATCACTTTAAGGTACCATTACAATAATTTACCTACCACTCTCACCCCCCAACCCCTGTTAATTTACAAAAATTACACTACCCATCAATTTCTAATCCCATTTTTCCTTTCATTTCGTTGTTGGAATTGTTACCTGATGATCCGGAGTCCTTTAAAAGGATTTTGGTGAAATAAATTATTGTAATGGTACCTTAAAGTGGTCTGTTTTTTTCATTAAATATTAGCTCTGTATTCACATTGAGCTCTCAGGATTCCATCCTCCTTGGAATTACCCATTCGGTTTTACCAAGTTCTTCATAACTTATATATATATATATATATATATATATATATATATATATATATATATATATTTGCATTTACTAAATAAAGGACACAAGTTGCTAGCCCTGAGTAATTACACGTGCCTTGCAATTAAGGCTCCCCTATTTAAAAAGCCTTGTGTCAAAACCTGCCTTACCACGGATGTTGGTTAAATAGAATTACACATATAGTCCAGTTCTTTACTCCATCAAAAAATGCTTAGGTCCGTATCATGTTGAAACACCGGTTACCGTACGATTACCGAAGGTAAGCAACACCGAGTCTGGTCTGTACCGAGATGGTTGACAGCCTGGAAATACTAGGTGCTGTTATCCTGGATTTACGGGTGTTGTAGTGGATAATGGCTCGGAGAACCAAGTTCCAATTCCAGTTGGTTTCGTTATATTCAGTTGCGCGCAAATACTTTCTCTCCCAATCAAACTTGTATCACTAAAACCATAAATATCCCTACCCTCCGCAACGCAAAAAGGAAAAGGTATTTAGATTTCCGCATTAAATAACCCATAGGGGATGTTGATATACAGCTAACTACAAAAATAAAATAACAACATGAAAAAGAATGTCTGAAGACAAATCGGTGAGAATAAACCGATTCCAAAGAAAAAATAACTCTGACATGTATACCTCGACGTAATCCGTTGAAGGTGCCGCAGACAGTAATCTTTCACTTTCATTACGAGCGACGAGATAAGATACTCGACAACAACAAATGATGAGAGATACCTAGGACAATTCCATTTGAAAATCCAATGTCGAACTCCATTTGCTGAACGCCTCAAATAATATTGCATCAGAAACTAAAAAAAAAACTAAATGCCATACAAATTCCGGACGAGAATCCTACATTATTTTTTGTAATCATTTCCCCCCAAGCAAGGCAATAAAGCCACTAAGACACAACGGTTTACTAAGCGTTAGAGAATATGAGAAAATTACTAAGTAGAGAGAACAAAAAAATACAAATTCCGGACGAGAATCCTACATTATTTTTTGTAATCAGTTCACCCCAAGCAAGGCAATAAAGCCACTAAGACGCAACGGTTTACTAAGCGTTAGAATATATGAGAAAATTACTACTAAGTAAAGAGCACAATAAAAGAACGAGAATTAAGAAGACAGAAAGTAAAGACTGACTTTGCACTGAAATGCATGAATATCAAAGTTGAAGCAAAAAGAGAGTTCCACAAGGGAGAATTGCAGTAGAAGAAACCATTGCCATAGAACTTACGGTTACATCTAGCCATTCCAACTGTAAATTGATGAGACCTTGTCGCCAATCTAGCACTGCGTTTAAATTCATAAAGTCTAGGTATCATAGTCCATCAGAGCAGTTACCATGAAAATATTTATATAAAAGGCACAGGGATATCTACGTTACAGAGGTGGGGAAGTGACTGAAGTAGGGATGCCAGAACAGGACAAATAACATTGCAGATTCTTTTTTGTATTTTATCAAGAATCTCTAAATATATAGAAGGGGCACCAGACCATATCTGGCAGAAGTATCCAAAGCCAGAACGAATGGTAGACTTTTCTTCAGCCATTTGCTTACTTTGAAAGCCTGAATGCTATCCAACACTGGCCTACATTTATTTTGATGCAAACTTTAAATTTGTAGCTGTGACCAAAATCAAGTCCACTTTTACTGTTTAATTGTATATTCTGTTGTACAGAACTTGAATATTTAACAAAAAAATGACTATTTATAGCCGAATTTCCCATAATGTTCCGTTTAAATCTGAAAGCCTCCCACAAAAAACAAGAATGATATTCAGTTCTTGATTGCTGGTCAACCTGGTTTATATATTATGAAAATGAATCATAATCACAGTGTAATTTTATTTAAGTTATATATGGAAACATTATTAAGTCCTTTGATATAATATAAAGATAATGAAAGTGTTATTATATTGTTCTAAGTCACGAATTAAAATAATTAAACGTACTTGGATATAAATACGTTCCATAAGGCTTTACCAAACAGCTGGAATATAAACTTGAGGTCAGCTTTGTTATAACTTAACTTAGGTAATGTTACTGATGATTACCAGGGCAGTAAAGCTATAGAAGAAAATTTTCAAGGAAGGTGTGACCAAAGAATGATGGTAGCCTATTGCTAGAATGTAAAATGTAATACATCTGCTAAGCTTTCAAGAAAATCAAATACGCAAAACTTCTTACCGAATCCAGGTAAAAAAAAAACACAGGAAAAAATGTCAAGGAAAAATGTCACGAGAAAACGTCACAGGAAATAAATGAAAAAAGATGATGTTAACGCAGTTTCTGTGTTATTTAATAGACTTTTTTTATAAAACCCTAGAACTAGTATCTCTAGTCTTAACATCTAACCTAACTATCTGTAACCTTAACCCTAGTATTTCCCACCTTAACCCCTAACGCTAATATCCCTAAAATTAACCCCTAAACCTAATATCTCTATCCTTAACCCTAACCCTAGCATCTCTAACCGTAACCGAGTATATCTAGCCTTAATCCCTAACCCTAATACCTCTAGCATTAACACCTAACCCTAGGATCTCTAACATTAACCCCTAACCCTAATATCTCTAGCCTTAGCCCGAACCCTAGTAGGTCTAACATTAACCCCTAACACTAGTATATCTAACCTTAACCCCTAACGCTAGTATCTCTAAAATTAACCGCTAACCCTATTATCTCTAGCCTTAATCCCTAACCTTAGTATCGCTAAACTTAACCTAGTATCTCTAGCCTTAATCCATACCCTAGTATCTCTAACCTTAACAGCTAATCCTAGTACCTCCAAACTTAACCCAAAACCCTAGTATTTCTAACCATAACCCCTAACTCTAGTATATCTAACCTTAACCCTAGTATCTCTAAACTTAACCCCTAACGCTAGTGTCTCGAAAATTAACCCCTAAACCTAATATCTCTAGCCTTAATCCTTAATCCTAATATCTCTAACCTTAACCCCTAATTAACCTGTAACCTTAGTATCTCTAACCTTAACCACTAATCCTAGTACCTCTAACTTTAACCTGTAACCCTAGTATATCTAACCTTAACCCTAGTATCTCTAACCTTAACCCCTAACGCTAGTATCTCTAAAATTTACCCATAACACTAATATCTCTAGACTTAATCCTTAACCCTAGTATTTCTAACCTGAACTTGTAACCCTAGTATATCTAACTTTAACCCTAGTATGTCTAGACTTAATCCCTAACCCTAGTATCTCTAGCCTTAACCCCGTAATCCTAGTCCCTCTAACCTTAACCCCTAATCCTAGTACCTCTAACATTAAACCCTAACCCTAGTATGTCTAGCCTTAACACCTAACCCTAGTATCTCTAACATTAACTCCTAACCCTAGTATCTCTAGCCTTAACCCCTAACCCTAGTATCTCTAATATTAACCCCTAAGCCTAGTATCTCTAGCCTTAACCCCTAACCCTAGTAGCTCTTACCTTAACCCCTAATCCTAGTACCTCTAACCGTAACCCCTAAACCTAGTATCTCTAACCTTAACCACTAAGCCTAGCATCTCAAGCCTTAAGCCCTAACCCTAGTAGCTCTAGCCTTAATCCCTAATCCTAGTACATTTAACATTAACATCTAACCCTAGTATCTCTAACCTTAACACTAGTATATCTAACCTTAACCCTAATATCTCTAAACTTAAACCCTAACCTGTTTAACTAATATATATATATATATATATATATATATATATATATATATATATATATATATATATAAGCTTAACCTAGTATCTCTAACCTTAACCCCCAACCCTAAGCCTGAAAACAGCAGGAACATTGAAAATCGCTTATCGTAGTGATATTATATGGATCAGCAATACTTGGATTTAGTGAAAAATCAGTTTTTAAACTCCTGCCATAAAAGTTATTGAGCGTCATGAGCGTGGATCAAAAATTTGATCCAATGGGTTCATGTAAACTAAACATGTCCCTGGTAAAACCGAGTTGAGACTTTCTTCCTGTGACTTTATCTGTGGCTTTTTTCCTGTGAAATTATTACCGGCCACGAACATAAACGCATTGTCATAGACTGAATTTGAACTCAACCAGCTCTCTCTTTCTCTCTCTTTCTCTGTCTCTCATTCTTTTCATATATATATATATATATATATATATATATATATATATATATATATATATATATATATATATATATGCAAGCAAATATATGGATATAGATCCGACAGTATGAAGAAAAATATACGGAAAAACAAACAAAATCCTTATATACAATTATGCTGTTTTAATGTTAATATGTCAACGTCGGACGTTTCGGTCTAATAAAATATTTTATGAATATGTCCTGAAGATGGTTTATTAGACCGAAACGTCCGACGTTGACTTATTAACATTAAAACAGCATAATTGTATATAAGGATTTTTGTTTGTTTTTTCCGTATATTTATTTATATATATATATATATATATATATATATATGCATGTTTCATTAAAAACGACAGACAAGGTACTACAGTTGAGCTTTTTATTTAATTTTTCTTGTGTTCTGACAAGAGCTTTCTTTTCTGGACAAAGAGTGTGTAAGAACTGTCCGAATGTTCTGTGTTTCGAGCGCTTTCGGCTATACCTTTAGCCATTATCAAGGATGGTTCAATTATCAGCTTAGTAGAGTGTGTTCTATGTATGTTCAGTGTGTGGTAGTGATGTTTTAGTTTCCGAATACGGTTAGCACATTGTGGCTTTTGTTCATAGTTGATATTGTTAGGGTTGGCTTTTTTCTTTTTTATTATTAGAGCTTCCATTATTTTTTAGTCTTTTTTGCAAGTGGATGCAGTTAATATATTTGTGTTTTCTACTAGTATGTTCCTAATAGTGTCGGGGTAAATCTGAGTGTGTGTTTAAATGTGTTCTGATGGAACTGTGATCAGATAGGTGTAATGTAAGACGTCAGGATAAACATGTGGTTGTGTAGCCGATGTAATTATTTATGTAATATATATATATATTAAGAAATATAGTTTTAAGTTGTGCCATATTTATGGGATAAAAGGCTCAATATCAGAGATAGAGCGTATGTAACTATAAACGTAAACATTGAACACTCAAGGGCGACAGGCTGTTTCATGACACAGCAGTCATCAGGCCGACGATTGCGTCTAGCATGAAACAGCCTATCGCCTCTGAGTGTTGACTTCAATGTTCATTTATATATTTATATATATATATATATATATATATATATATATATATTAGTTAAACGTTATTTTTTAGTGGATACTCGTACTTGAGTAGGCGCCCCGTTTATTTATTTTCATCTACCATGCGGAATA